ATGCAAAACGGGACGGAAAACATGAAATTTTGCAATAATCTTACGCCACCCTTGCACAAAACGACGATAATTTTTCTAATTTCATAGACAACAGACGACTGTATTTTTTCTACATAACCCCCCCCCCTGAATTTAAAGCTCTAGTAAAGGGTGAATTTCGAAAAAATCGCCAACTAGTCGGCCTAGCGTCCACCTTGTACTTTGCGCCCTGTAAGTGTGGCAAGATGCAGGCGATTGATCGGTTTGTGCAGTCTGGGGCTTCAAATTCGAATGCAGCTGCACTAGAAGGGCGCCGTTCTATTTTCCAATCATCAGATCAGCAGCCTTGAACTGTTGATTGCTGTTAACTGTGATTAAGCGTTCGTGACAATCGAAGTTACTTTTACTTCTTCTATTTCTTCCTGCTTCCTGGCAACTGAAGCAAAGCGTGAAGGGTTTTGAGCAAGATATCGGCTCTTCATGCACAACTGATTATACGATGTCGACAGTGATCGTCAGGCCCATGAAGCGAGGATGGGGTGCTTAATGGTCTGTTACTGAATGCGCTCTTCAACTGTTCCCGAAAACACGAAAATCATTCGGGCCTTGAGAGTGGGACGTGCGTCCAGGTGCGTCCAAACAAAATCAAGGCTTCGCGTTAGCATGCAAATCACGGCGGCGAAGACGCCAAAAACCGCCTGAATCTTCAATTAGAGTATTAAATAACCGCCTAATTGAGGTGCATAAGTGCCGATTACTTAAATCGGCGATTTTGTCCATCGATGTTGCGTATTATCGAAATCTAAGTGAAAATGATGTTCTTACCTGTTTCCGGGCATTTCGTCAGATTACCCAAACACTTCCTGCCGGGATTTTCTTGAGGAAAATCACGGGAAGATTGTGGAGAAAAATTCGCGCTCAACACGACTCGCTCGAATTGCGTTTCTTTCGACAAAGCGGCGCACAAACCCAACTGGAAAATCAGCGAAAAGCGCATCTTTGGAGTGTTAAATCGCTCAAATGTCGCGGTTTGCCATGGGCAGAAACCCCAAATTTTTGAGTGTTTAGTTTGTAGTTGGCGCGTACCCAATGGCTTAGTCGCTGGCCGTCTGCGGTAGGCGCGTTGATTGGTGGGGGCTTCAATCGCACAAAACGCATACTAAACATTGGGCTTTGCCGTAATATGGTGACGATGTTGAAATTTGCTCAATACCGATTTTGCCACTCAGCAAAAAAATTGCTGAAAATCGGACAAAATGCACTTTTATTAACAAGAGTTTTGCCCTGGATTTTTGCGCGTGTTTCACTCTTTGCCTGTAGTTTTTTACATTTATCAAACCACGAAGCGCCAGTTTTTAGCATTAATTATTTCCATGTTTGTTTTTTTTTAATGTTTGCATCCCAATCACTTTTTCATATGTGTTAAGGCACTGTATGCAAAAAATCGAACGCAAACAGTTTTTGCGTGCCAACTTGCGCTATATATTTTTCAAAAAATAGTTGCGATTCACCAGTAAGAGTGCTGCAGAGCAGGAGAAAACATCAGAACCCAAACCAAAAAATAAATTATACATCCAAAAAAACCGTATACTTGTCTTTTTCTAAAAGAACTATACAGCCGCCACTGTGTAAGAAGCGAAGCTACGCCGCTGTGCATCAAGCTTTGCGCATGCCGCCGCAAACGTCCAAATCGGTTGTCACTTGTCACAACAGTCTTCGTTCTTTACGTTTTTCGTTGGCAAGATGGTGAGTTGAAGTGCGGCTTGAAAATCTGTAATCATCCCTCATTGGGGCATGTAAATATAGCCACTGTGTATTATGAAACCTTCCAAATGATTCCTTGTTCAGCCCTAGCTAGGAATCTTTTAGCCCCATTTGCCTGCGCCCATTTTTTTGCGTGTCCCAAAGTGTGCCCAGTAGTGTCCTTTTCGTGCCCCTCTTTTGCTAGTGACTAGTCTATACAGTGATTGCAGATGTTCCTGAAGCCCCAAAAATCACGTTTGTACTGCTCGGTTCTAATCAGGCTTTTTCCAGGCTCGCGGTCCTAAAAAACATTTGAAGCGTCTAAATGCGCCAAAGGCATGGATGTTGGACAAACTGGGGGGTGTATTCGCCCCTCGGCCATCCACCGGCCCACACAAGTTGAGGGAGTCGCTGCCTTTAGTGATTTTCCTCCGCAATCGCCTTAAGTATGCCCTCACCAACAGTGAGGTTACAAAAATCGTTATGCAGAGACTTATTAAAGTCGATGGAAAAGTCCGGACAGACCCCAACTACCCAGCCGGATTCATGGGTAAGCAATTGTTGGTGATTTGCGCCCTATCGAAGCTGAGCGGCGGTGTTTGAGCCGCCGCCCGGTCAAAATGGGCCCACATTAGACTCCTTCATTGGTCACTGGATGGTTGCTTTAATAGCTGTGCCAGTATCACCCAAAAGGAGAACAGCGGTTTTTTTGCCGGCTGGCGTTTAATGCTTTGTGGTTTTTCAGACGTGGTGACCATTGAAAAGACTGGAGAATTCTTCAGGCTGATCTACGATGTTAAGGGCAGGTTCACAATTCACCGAATCACACCAGAAGAGGCAAAGGTAAGACCTGAGTTTAATTCGCTCTCGCTTATTGCAGCTTAAAGTGATGATTTGGTAAGTTTGGGGCCCACTGGTTGGTTGAGGACTGCCATGTTTTCCCAGCCAGAAATGAGCCACGTGATTTGGCACTTACTCATCTGATTATTTTAATGATGCTATTGATCGCTGAGCCAAAGTTGATGACTTTTTCATACCACCACTCATTGTCTGATTTGTTGTTTAAAGGGCTTTAAGTTTCTAAGAGTTAATATCCGACTGTAACTGTGTTTTTTTTGTTCTAGTATAAACTGTGCAAAGTTCGCAAGGTCGGGACTGGCCCCAAAGGTATTCCCTTCCTCGTTACCCACGACGGCAGGACAGTCAGGTACCCTGATCCCAATGTGAAGGCAAGTATTTTAGATCACTGAAGTAATTAACTGTGAATGGCCCTAATTTGACATGATGCGTTCTTACACAACTGAGCCTCATTTGATGACTCTAATTTACCACTACCCATTAACTGATCTTTACCGGAAATTGATAAGTTTCCAATTAACTTTGGCCGCCGATATTTTACAATGTTTTTGCGTTTCAGGTCAACGATACCATTCAATTGGACATCGCCACCTCAAAAATCCTGGACTACATCAAGTTCGAATCTGGGAATCTCTGCCAGATAACAGGGGGCAGAAATTTAGGTCGTGTGGGCACCGTCGTGAACAGAGAAAGACACCCAGGATCTTTCGATATAGTACACATCAAAGACGCCAACGACCACGTCTTTGCTACTAGGTAAGGGCCCGACATTTGAGGGGAACATTGATGATTTTCGGCCCTATCGAAGCCGGGGGATGACTTAATGCCATGTCAGCCCTTGGTCAAAATGCGGCCTATAAAAATGTTCTCTTTAAGGTCACTGGCTATCTGAGTTTTGTAGATATTTCAGTATCACCCAAAGAGAAGACACCTTTTTTATAGTTCAGAATCATTGTACATACTTTCCTGACTGGGTTTCAGTCATTTATTGTCTCTATTTATCAATCAAAATACGTTTCGGTGTATTTTTCCACCATCATCAGTTTTTATGTGTAGCGTTGTTGCTGCTTTAAGCCTTGGCATGCGTTT